GCAGATTCCATGGGGGATGATTCCTGGGTAGCTCCCTTTGACCCTCAGGTTCCTCCAGGCTCCAAACTGGGGCTGCACCAGGAAAGGGTGTGGTGGGAGGGCTTTGCTTTCTGGAAGCATCCCTGGAGTGATCTGTCAGAAGATTTTCCATCTGCTCTTAAATTCTTCCCTTCCTTAAAAGCCAGCAAGTGGCTTTTTCCACATTGAAATGAGCCTTTTTGGGATGAAGAATAACTTTGTGTTCTAATATTTATTGTACATGCCAGAAGGTGCAAACCCAGCGTAGGGAACGTGGCTTTTGTTGCTTTGAGGGAAGAGCTTGGAATGAGCATTTCTTGTGTTCCTTGGAAAATGGGAATTCCTGTCAGGACAACAAGAGGCTGTGCTGCAGGGTTGGGTATTTTACTGCAGGCATTGAAAAGCATCCCAGAAAGGATTGGGCTGGAAGGGACCTTAAAGCCCATCCAGTGCCACCCCTGCCATGGCAGGGACACCTTCCACTGTCCCAGGCTGCTCCAGCCCCAGTGTCCAACCTGGCCTTGGGCACTGCCAGGGATCCAGGGGCAGCCACAGCTGCTCTGGGCACCCTGTGCCAGGGCCTGCCCACCCTGCCAGGGAACAATTCCTAATTCCCAATATCCCATCCATCCCTGCCCTCTGGCACTGGGAAGCCATTCCCTGTGTCCTGTCCCTTCATCCCTTGTCCCCAGTCCCTCTCCAGCTCTCCTGGAGCCCCTTTAGGCCCTGGAAGGGGCTCTGAGCTCTCCCTGGAGCCTTCTCCTCTCCAGGTGAACAATCCCAGCTGTGCAGCCTTTCCTCCCAGCAGAGCTGCTCCATCCCTCTGCTCATCCTGGTGCCTGCCCTGGTCTCTCTCCAGCAGCTCCAGGTCCCTCCTGTGCTGGGGCAGCTCTGCAGGTGGGGTCTCACCTGAGCACAGGGGCAGAGGGGCAGAATCCCCCCTCTCTTGAGCTCCCCACACTGATGGGGATAGATCTCAGGGGTTTTATTTCCCATCTGTTACAAACCAGTATTTTTATTTATCTCCTGCCTTTGTGCCAGTGGATACTCATAGCAAGGTTTGAAATTCAGCATTTTATGGCCACTGCAAACCTTTAACATAAGGCTTTCCACTGCTCAACACAGCTTCTGTGCAGAGCCTCTGTTTGCTGGGACAAAAAACTAAATTTCTTTGGCTTGTTGTGGATGCTGCTGGCTGGCTTTGGTTAGGCTGGGGGAGCAGAGCACCCCTGGGAGGGGGGTGGATGGACACTGGGAGTGGGGGATGGACACCCCCTGTGTGCTTTGCTCCTGAGAGACAGCACAGCCAGGTTTTTATGCATTAAGGGTATTTGTAGGCAACTTGTTAAGGTTCTTTTTGCATGACTTCTGCAAATTTGAATGCAATTAGCTTCTTCCTCCTGTTGCCTTATTAATTACCGTGATGGACCTAAACTGATTTGGGACAGGATGTATCGCAGAGGATTGTGCCCTCTTTTTAAACTCTTCATCAAGTCTCCAGCACATGTGGTCATTAATCTTGCAGGAAAACAGGGATGGCTTGGTGCCAGGCTGCTTGCTCTGGAGAGGAAAGATGGCAATAACTGCTTTCTACTCCGAGTGACCCTCTGAAGGCAGAGACATCCACTGCAGTGCTAAGTAAATATTCATGGAAATCCTCCTCCTTCAGACAGGCTCATTTGGAAACAGTCCTGCTGCCTTACAAATATTGCAGGTTATTTTGTTTGTGCGTTGTTCCTATTAGAAACCTGAACCAGGAAGCACAGAAGAAGAAATACTGTTGGAAAATAAGAGGTAATGGAACATCTGTATCTTGTTTAAAGCACTTACTCGTCACGGCAGGAGTGGGATTTTTTTTTTAACCATTTTAAATACTTTTTATTCTCTATTACTGGGTAGATTCCTGCATTCACATGTGTGGAAATAATGTTATTATTAAGGCATGGCATGGTTTGGAGAAGCATTTGTTATTTGAATATTTTTTAATATAATTTTTTATTTGAATAATTGGGAACTAGGAGTTAATTCATGTGCTCTGAGGCTCGTGTGTTTCTGGGCTGGTGACAGGGTGGGGATTGGGCACAGGCTGGACTTGATGGTCTGGGAGGGCTTGTCCCACCTGGGATTGTACATGAGAATAAACACAATAGACAAAAGCCTGTGAAATACAGAGAAAGAAAAGATAATAATCATAGTAATAATAATAAACTAATGTGGAAGTTGCTGAAAGCCTGGCATGTTTGAGTGTGTGGGACTGGCAAGCCACAGTGAATGAATAATTTTTCTGAATTATTAAGAGTGATGACTGTTCTCTCACAGGGAACAATCGAGGAGCTCTGCTTGGAGCTCTGACGTTGTATTTTTAGGACCAACTCATTTTCAAGTATGTCAAACTCTGCTTTTTTTCCTTACTCCATTCAAAAAGATGGGTGGAATATTTCCTGCTGGAAGGGTTTGGGGCTCCCAAACTATGGAGGGTGGTTTAGTCTGTGGTGGCAGGGGTGGAAGGAGATGATTTTAAAAGTTTTTTCCAACCCAAAGCAGTCTTGGATTCTATAAAATAATCTCATAAATAAGCAGCTGCCTTGCAAGATGGTTTTGTTCCTCTAGCCAGCACTGTTTAAGGGCAGCTAGAGGTGCTTTTCTCACAGGCTTTGTAGTCCAAGTCTCATCTTAACCAATTATCCCTACTAATAAAGCCTATTTTGCTCACATTTAAGCATGACTGAGTTATTATCCAGCCCTTTCCTTGTGGGTATTTAAATTTAGGATGCTCAGATGTGGCAGAGATGAAGCTGTGTTTCATTGATGGCCCAGCCAATGTGTTTTCCTTCATGATGATATATTTTGTGGAGTGGTTAAAAGGGTTTGGATGATTTGGGGGCTTCTGAGCTTCCTGTGTTGAGGACAGAGACAGAATCAGATGTTCTCTTACACATCTGAGATCATATTATGTTATTATTAATATAATATTGATAATATATTAAGCACTTGAATTCCCTGAATTTGTTCACATTGGGTCTGTTTTGGTGCTTCTCCTCCAACTAGAAGCATAAGGGTTGAAAAAGACCTTTAAGCTCATTGAGTCCAACTGAGTTTTCCTGTTCCTTTGCTGTTGTTTGGACCAAATTCCCCAACTCCTCCTCAAATCCTTTCCTGTGTTCAGTTCCATCAAGGAGAGCATTGTTTTGTGCTGAAGATCTCTACATCCAGAGGGAAGTTTGACTTGGGCCAGGAATTCCTCACAGTCTTTTTGGGTCTTTTGACTTTTGCAGCAACTCCACTTGAAATCCTGACTCTATTCAAGGAGAAATTAAATAAATTTGGAGCCTTGGAATGAAATAAATGCCTGGAATTGGAATGCAGGCTGACATGATGAACACAAAAGCTTTAATTAGGCTTTCTTTGGTGGCCAGTTGGGCAACACCAATAATGAGCTCGTTGTTAGGAGGATTTGGGGTGGCTGACAAGAACAGGCAGGAGCTGAATCAAGGCACAGCAGGGAAAGACAAATAGAGGAAATGGGGCCATGCAGCACCTGGTCAGCCTTACAAACCCCCAGCTTTGCTGAAAGGAATCCTTGCCCTGGGTGCAGCTTTACCTGGGGTCCTTATTTGCACACAGGAGGGGCTGGGCTGCCAGCCAGGGATTGCTGAATGCAGATCCCAGCTCAAGGAATGGTTTTGTGGCTCCCCAAGCCCACCTCGTCCTTGGCAGCCTGGTCCTGTCCCCTCCTGCCCTTCAGCAGGGTCACTTCTGGTGGCCTCTGGTGCCCAGTGGGATGAGCTGTGTTGAAATAACCTCCAAACTATCGAAGGAATAAAAAGAATCTTAAACTTCACTGAGCTGGCAGTGTGGTGGGTGGAACCCTGAGCTGCCTCTAACTCTGTGCAAGGACCGTGGTGTCCCCAGGGCTGGGCTGGTTTGGTGTCAGATTAAACTCTTTCTGGATTTAGAGATGGGGTAGCTGGGAGGTGTTTTAAAAAGCTTTTATTCTCTTTGCAGTCTTAGGAGAAGGGTGAGACAGTACAGATGTCATAATTCACGTTATTACAATCAGAAGGGAACTATTTTTAAATTATAATACACTGTAAGTGTTTATAATACACTAGAATACATTTTTCATAGTTCTATTTCTCCAAAGTATTTATTCTTATCTGTAAGGCCCTTGTTTCTGGTTCCATTTCTCTCTCAGCAATGTCTGTCCTATGCCATGGCATCTCTAAGTCAGCATTTCTTCTCTCAAAGTTTGCATACAGATGCACACTGTGAGCCTTCTGTCAGGTTTTGAAACTTCTCTACAAATCCATTTCCCACAGTCTGGGTCTCCCCAAGTCCCACTTTAGCATTTTTTTTCAAGAAGACACCACCCATTAAAGTGTTTTTCTTTGAAAACTTTGCTTCATATTCATCTTTTCCCCAGCTAAATCCCTCCTGGCTGCTCGGGCTCTGCAGGGAGTGCTGGCTGTGAGCAGTCCAGCCCCCGGGCTGAGGAGCTGCTCTCCAGCCTGGAGGTGTTTTGGGAGCTTTAGTTTTGGTCTAGATCAGGATTTAACATCCTCAGTTGTCCACCTGCACAAGTGGATTTGGGGATTTTGTGCCAAATGCCTCCTGTGATGATTATAATATAAATACTCAGAGAGTCCGTGCAGTGTCACCCTTTGGTGTGCTCCAGTTTGTGTAATTAATATAAAATATAATAAACCAAGTAATAAATCCATTACCTTCTTCTTTGTGCTTCCTTTCAGTTTTGTGTATGGAAGATATTCCAAGTAGCTCTGTTATCGTAGGTGTGAAACTTGTAGCTAAAAGAGGATTTTGCAACTCCACAAAATCTATTTTTTTTGCAATGCTGGACGTATCTAAAGCTTATTGACAAGAAATAATTACAAGTTCACATCTCTCTAAATTTTTTCTTTGACTTCTCTGCACATTTTTAGGGAAAATACTGATCTTTTGTTTTAAATTTATTTGTGCCCCAGGTCCAAGGAGCTAATAAAGGAAGCGATCCTTGACAATGACTTCATGAAGAACCTGGAATTGTCCCAGATCCAGGAGATTGTGGATTGTATGTACCCCGTGGAGTATGGCAAGGACAGCTGCATCATCAAGGAGGGAGATGTGGGTTCCCTGGTCTACGTCATGGAAGGTAGGGTTGGGAAAGATCTTATTTACTCTTTTTTTTTTTTTTTTAACACTTAGAGACAAAACCTTTTGTGGGAAAAATCGTTTCAGAGAAAGAGGTTGTCTAAATATGGTTGCTTAAAAATTGTGTGGACTGCTTCTGTGTGGAAAATTATGCCTGGATTTGTGTGCCTGTCTGGCTAAAGAAAGGAGGTGAAATCTGTGAAGCTTGCACTGGAATAAACCTCCCCTAAGCAGAATTCCTGTGCTTGGAGGTGATGGTTTGCTGGATCAATGAGGATTTTAACAGAAGGAAGGGTGGTGTGGAGATGGGGATGGCTGTGGAACAGGGAGAAGGTGCTCACAGCCTCCTCCCAGGTGGAAATGTGGGTACAGCACATGGGGCTGTCCACAGGAGCTGTCCTTGGGAGGATGGAAAATGGTGTTGGTGCATCCTGGGCACAAAGGAAGAGCAGCCCCTGTGCTCCAGCTCATCTGCTTGGTCACAGGATGTGCTGGGGTTTCTCATTCAGCTTTGTGAAAATCTTTTAGCAGATGTTGCCAATGCTCTGCCTTTCCAAAATCCCAGCTCCTTGTGTTTGGTGTCGTTTTCTTTCTGGGTTGTCTCACTCTCCACGTGTCAAACTGAGCATATTCTGTGTATCTTTTTGCTTTTTATTGTTAAGGAAGTGCATGCAGCTGTCAGAGTTACTGAGCTGGATCAAACCTCGTGTGCCTCCAGAGTGGCTGATCCTGAGTTCTGAGGGAAATATCCCTGTTTTCCTTCCTGCTGTGATTTGTTACCACAATAGGCAAAAGCTTATCAAATTCTTCTTGCTCCTCACCAGAACTATCTGGTGGGCTCAAAACATTTTGGCCAGATAACACCTTTTCACTTGCCCATCTATATTTTAATATCTTAAATTTTTCTTTTAAACAAAAATCTTTCCAAGGCAGTAAGCCATCCTTTAAACAAGCTTTCCTGCCAAATTCCTCATGCTGTATAGTTGCAAGTACTCCTCACTGGTTTCCCAAAACAACTTGAAGCTTCTGTCCTTTTAAGGTTAAGTCCTTTCTCAAGGCACAGGTTTAATTCCTCTGGTTTTTCATAGTTTTGGATTTTGCACATTGAAATGTTTTTTTCTGTGAATTATGTGTTTCCACCCGCAGCACTTCATGGAAAGATTTAAGGCTTGCATGGAAAGGTTTAAGGTTTTTAGACCTCCTTTGAATACAGAGACTATTTTGAGGTGCAGAATCTATTCTGTTGATGAGAAAAAGCTGCTTCAGAATAATAGTATTTTCTTCCTAGTGAAAATGTGGAGGATTTGTCCTGTGCAGTTCCGTGCTCCCTTCCCAAATTCCCCCCACACCAGAGGTTTGCTCATGGGGTTTTTGCTGCCTGGCTGCTTTTGGGATGCTGTGTTCAATGCTGTGCCTTGAAAAAAACCCTGAGAACAGGACATGTTGGAATCAGGGTGTATTTATCTCCTGCTCAGCCTCTTCCCACACCCTGGAGAGGATTTTGGGGGGAATTAGGGGCAGAACTGTTTCCAGCATGGTTTGGGGTATTGAGCACTGCTTGCCACTGCTTGCCACTCAGATAACCCCTTATGCTGATAGATTTTATCATATTTATGGTTATTATTTAGCAGATGGCCGTGTGGTGATGAGCGTGCAACAAACGTGTGTCAAACCCAAATTTTGGGTTTTTCTGGGCACTTGAGGTTTTCCATGTTCTCCTGGCAGCTGTGTGTGTGTGTGAGGGCACGACTCAGCTCTTCCCTTGGCTTTGTAACTTAATTTAAGATTATTTAGATAGCTCCCTAAATATGCATAATGCTTTGCAAACCCAATTATGGAGAGTTTATAGTCTGTGTTTAGACATAATGCAATGAGTGATGATGAAGTCATGGAAATGGGAGAGGACATTATCAAATAGGTTGGGCCATGGTTATGAGAGCTCATTTTGGTTTATCATTCCGTGTCCTCTCAATTATTAACACAGTAAACCCAAATAAAAATTCAGTTCTTTGCAAAACTCTACTGGAGAGACCCATCTTTTGAGTATTACTGAGAGGTGTTTTCTCAAAAATCAAATAAATGCTGTCCTCCTTCCATTAATTCCTTTTCCCTTCCTTGCTTGGGCTCTTGCTCTTTGAGCTGGTAGTGACAAAAAACAGAGCTTCGAATCAGGAGCTGAAGTAGAAATTTGTCAGCAAGCAGAATCCTGAATTTAGAGCTTCTTTGCTTTTAGTAAGTCCAATAAGCCTTTTTTTTTTTTTTCTTTTTTAAGTTTTTTTTTGTATTCTGGAGTGATTTCACCGCAGTCTGTGTCTTGCTGGCCAAATTTCCACCTCTGGGGAGATGAGGGCCCATGGCTCAAGCTCTCAGGCACTGGCCCTGCCACATCCTATTCTTCAAAACACTTTATTTCTCTGGCTTCTTCAAAACACTTTATTCTGTAACATAAAAACTATTCTTCAAATCACTTTATTTCTCCGGCTTCACCCTGCCTGTGCTGTTCTTCAGCCCTCTGAGGACACCCCTTGATTCCCTTTGTGTTCAAAAAGTAGCAAGAAACCTCCTCGACTTTTCCTTATTAACTGAAATGGGTCACGAGATGCCCTAAACCTTGATCAACACCAAAAAATTTCCCTTACAGATGTGCTTTGGAGGTGGGAGGGAATGTATTTGTGATGTGACAAGTACCCATCAGGGGCTGAAATTGCTGGCAGCATTAAACATCCCTGCTGTGCCCCTCTCCAGCAGGAATATTCCTCCAGGCTCTGAGGCTGGGAATGAAAAAAGGGAGATGAGTGATGCTCTGCCTTAAACTACTCCACACTGGAACTCTGCAGGGAAGACAATTGTGAGAGGAAAATAAATTTATTTATTGGCTATATTCCCTTTCCTGGGAGAAAGTTTGCTGCTCTGAGAGGGGTTCAACTGATTATTTGTCTTCAAGCTGAGGGTTTTTAGAGCCAAAAAAGTTCTTGTAAATTAACCATAAATGAGTCTGCTGCCTCCATTTTTTTTTTTTTTTTAAGTGAAGAGAAAAAAAATCTAAACATTTCCTTGGATGTGTTAAAAACAGACTGGATGTGGCACTGGGTGCCAGGGTTTAGTTGAGATGCTCGGGTTGGGTTGGACTTGATGATCTTGGAGGTCTCTTCCAACCCAGTGATCCTGTGAATTCTGAGAATTTTCCAAATTGTAAAGTTTGCATTTGCTGACTTTGCAACATTCCTAAAATTTTGCTGAGAGCACTTAAAAATGTGGCAGCCTGGGGAGGTGTTTTCAGAGAGCTGCACCTCGGATCTGGGCGGTGTTGACAGGTTGCAGCTGTGCGTGGGTGCTGCCTCACACTGATGAGGGTAAATGTGATATCCCACCTCTGACCCCAAATGTTTCCTCTGGCTCAGCCACTCAGCTGCAGGCTGTCAGCTTGGATTAGGGCAGGAAGATCCTGTGGAGAAATCAGGTGGCAAGGTCCAGGTTTGAGGCTCTCCTGTGAATAAATGGATATTTTTAGGATGAAATTTAGCATAGAATAGAGGTTTTTTGGGGTTTTTTTAGGTTTTTTTGACACTTTAGTCATAGGTATAAAGAGTCCTCCCTCAGGGTTGGTGCCATTCCCATGAAGTATGGAAGAAATAATTCAGTGACACAGGGGGAAGGGAGAATTCCTTGGATTAACTCTTTCGTTGCTCATGGGTTTGTATTGGCAGTGGGTGCTGCACATGAATCCTGAGGCTGCACCTCTGTACACATCTGGAGAACCTGAGGGAAGAAAAATCCCCTGTGTGCTCCTGCTTGTGCAGGCATAGAGAGGGAAGAAGCAGCTTTTTGAGAACCAGCCCCTGTTTTAGTCATTTCCCTTCTCCTCTTAAATTTCATTTTATTTTTGTCTTCAGTCGTGGGGATTTGCCTTTTATTTTTAAAGGTGACTTTGTCTCTTGCTTCCTTCTTGGTGGCTCCCTCAAAGGAAGGATGTAACTGTGATTTCCCATGGGAATATTGGTTTCTGGGAGTCTTGGGAAGCAGTGTGTTCCTGGAAACTGGGATCGTGGAGCTGGGGGTTGATAAGGGAACACAAACAAGGTCTGTGTGGCTGTTTGAAGTACAGAGACAAATGAGAGTCCTTCCATGGGTAGAAATGCTCCTCTGGGAGGCTCAGGGGTTTTTCCTGTTGAACCCAAAGCAAAGCAGACACGTGGATGTTGTCTGTGTTCCCCCAGGCATCACCTCGGTGCCTGCACAGCCTCTGCCCCAAGGATTCATGCTCAGTGTGTGGGCACTGACACTTCTCATTTCCCACATCTCCCTTTTCCCTCCTGTTGGCTTTTACCACCTGGGCAGTTCCTGCTTTGCCCCCAGGGTCACTGCAGAGTCTTGGGTGCTCCATGCAGTCATCCCAGTGCTGTGTTCAGTCTTTGTGTCACCTCCCTGTGACCCTTCTCTCTTTTTATAGATCTAATTGAACAGGATTAATTCCCTTGGAGGGTCTCGTGAGTCAGATCCTCCTTCTCACAGGGAAAGGGCTTGGTGGGACTGATACGTTAAAATGACCAAATTGTGGAGAACAGAGTTTGGATTTTGGATTTAAGGAGCATAAATGGTTCGAGGGATGGAGCAGCTCTGCTGGGAGGAAAGGCTGGGAGAACTGGGTGTGTTCACCTGGAAAATGCTCCAGGGAGACCTCAGAGCCCATTCCAGAGCCTAAAGGGGCTCCAGGAGAGCTGGAGAGGGAACTGGGACAAGGGATGAAGGGACAGAACACAGGGAATGGCTTCCCAGTGCCAGAGGGCAGGGATGGATGGGATTTTGGGAGGGAATTGTTCCCTGGGAGGATGGGCAGACCCTGGCACAGGTTTGGCTGAGCTCTGTGTGTGCAGGGATGTTCTGGGTCACTGTCGTGCTCCGGGATCACACCTGGAGAGATGGAGCTGAGCGCCTGCAGGTGGGATTTTCCTGTCTGCACACTGTGGTTCATCTCTGTGCCCAAACACTGCCCTTGCTAGG